AAGTGTATGCAGAATTTGTCTAATAGGGCACCTTCCTCAGAACAGACTGACCCAGGAGAATTGATTCCCAGAAGAATGACTGTATCAAGGAGGCAGAACTTGGTTTCATTGCATGGTGTTTCTTATCTTCTGTTCTAGGTTTTGAGGCTGGAAGAATTTATCCAACAAAATAAGGCGCGCCCCACAAAGGCTGAGGAGAGGCCCCAGGAATTAGGCTGCCAGCGCTGCAGCATTCTGGAGACACAGGTAACATCCAGCTTTGTCAGCTTTAATTAAAGATCTTTCTCTTCTCCGTCTCAGCCTCTCGGTGTCCCCAGTGACACATGCTGATGTTAATGGGCTTTTTTACATTTCCACACGGCACTGCCAAAATGCCTGGGGAAAAAAAAAATCACCACAAAATCCATTCACAGAAACCACAAAGGAAACAGAGTTCTGACTAATTATCGCGTGGTTTGAAAAAGAATAAGCCTGTCGGATAAGTCTCCACTCTCTCTCTGAGAGCAGCCTGCCTGGCGGATAAAGGACGCACTCAAGTAGAGCAGGGCCTTTCATTCTTCCCAGCACTAACCTCAGCAGTAGTCATAAAAGCCCCTCTTTCCCCCGCTGACCCCTCCACAGCCGCGATCTCATTTGCTCTCACAACAACCCTTGTCCGTGAAGCTGCCCTTTCAGGGACGCTGCTTGAGGGTAGAAATTGGTTCCTAGTGGGTTGTGTTGTTCTCCAGGACTGCCATAATGAATTACCACATACTTGGTGGCTTCAGCCATAGAAGTTTACTCAGTCACAGTTCTGGAGGCCAGAAGTCTGAAATCAAGGTGTTGGGAGGGTTGGTTTATTTTGGAGGCTGCGGGAGAGAACCTGGTCTGTGCCTCTCCCCTCGCCTCTGGGTGGTTGCTGGGCAATCCTTGCGTTCCTTGGCCAAGTCTTCCTTGTAGACGCATCACTCCGATCTCTGCCTCTGTCATCACATGGCCTCCTTCCACGTGTGTCTGAGTCTTTGTGTCTTCACATAGCCTTCTTATAAAGACACCTGTCATTGGATTTAGGGCCCACTCTGCTGCTGTAGTATGACCTCTTCGTAACTAATTGCATCTGCAAAGATCCGATTTCCAAATAAGGTCACATTCATAGGTACTGGGGCTTAAGACTTCAGCATATCCTCTTAGGGACACAGCCTAACCCACAAGATAGGCACTCAGTGAACATTTGTTACACCATCGCAGGAATATAAATAATCCCTGTGAAGTGGGCGCTTGAGTACCCTGGCTTGAATAACCCTCTTAATTCCTGTTTCGGCAGGAAGAGAGCCATAAAAAACCCATGGCCTTCAATTTCACTTATTTGATTGCTGCCTGCAATTTTCAGGCTATTTCAAAGTCCAGGTGGGAAAACACTACATGGGTGACTATGAATCTTACCACATCCCTCTCACCAGTCTCTTGTACACGAGTGTCCTCAGGAACGTCAGTTTCTCTCCCATGACATCCACCTTCCAGGGCTCAGGCCCTGGTCCTGCCAACAGCCCCCATGGCATACTCTGGTGGAATAGCCCATATTCAACCACATATTCGCCAGGGTAAAAATGAGCCAAAATCTAGTGACTGTGGATTTAAATAATAATTAGCCTTTGTATGTGTACTGTAGGTCAGTCGTAGAGCACTGTTCTCATCTTTGACTTCTTTGAAGTTTTTGTGTTTTTGAGACGGGGTCTTGCTCTGTTGCCCAGGCTGCAGTACAGTGGTGCAATCACAGCTCACTGCAGCCTCGACCTTCTGGGCTCGAATGATCCTCCCACCTCAACCTCCCGAGTAGCTGGGACCTCATGTGCACACCACCACACCAGGATAATTTTTGTATTTTTAGTAGAGATGGTGTTTCATGATGTTGGCCAGGCTGGTCTTGAACTCCTGACCTCAGGCGATCCTCCCACCTTGGCCTCCCAAAGTGCTGGGATTCCAGGCATGAGCCAGCATGCTCAGCTTCACTGGAATTTTGCAACAACAGTGTAAGGCACCCATTTTACAGAAAAGAAAACAGAAGGTGAGGGCAGGTGACCTTCCCACAGTCACAGGCAGGTAAATAGCCAAGATAGGACGGAACCACTGGCCCTGATCCCCTCCTCTCACCATGAGAGCAGCACATGCCCAAGATGCCTTCCAGATAAAACAGGCTCCAACTGTCACTGGGTTAAGGGGAGCAGCCAGGGCTCCCTGGGTTCCCTCCTTCCTCCTCTGACACCCAGATTAGGGGAGAATCCTTCAGCAGCCCTGTTGCCCCTGTGTGGGCTGGGAGGAGAAGCCCAATGGAGCAGAGGCACCCTCACCCACAGGGCTTGCCCCTTCCTGATCTGAGGCTGCCCCCCTCCTTTTGGAAGATTTCTGCCTGAGGAATGTGCGGATATTTTTATTCTCCCTTAGTTTCTCAAGAACCTGTCTCATGAGCTAGCATTCCAGAGAACATTTGGCCCCAGGGACAGCTGAACCTTTCTTTCACCAGCACCCTGTGGGTTTCCCAGAAAGGTCGTCCTAAGATATTCAAGTATTTTTCAGCTCCTCAAAGTGACCGTGGCAGAGAGATGGACTGCAGTTGGCTGGTATCCTTCTTGATGAGATTAAATCTGAAATAAGGTTGGTAAGCTGGAGACTGAATAAAAAATGCAGTTCAGGAGGATTGTACAGCAGGCTGTATTTTAGGAGGGAACATAAACACGTAGAAGCTCTAAGTATGTCCCAGGGCTGATGACCCAAGTCTACCAGTCATGGTCACGATGTCGGTGAGCCAGTGCTATCACCACAGCTCAGCTTCAGCACGTGACTTTGGGGCTACATAATTCTTTGTTTTGGTGGGTTGTGGGGAGCTGTGCTGTGTGTGGCAGGATGTATAGCAGCATCCCTGGGCTTTACCCGCTACATGCCAGTAGTACCCCTCCAACCAAAAATGTCTTCTGGGGCAAAATTATCCCCAGTTGAGAACCACCTCTGTAGCTAAAAAAGTAAGTCCTGGAGAAGTCCAGTTAAGTGCCTGTTGGGAACCATGGGTTTGTCCACCAGGAAACTCCTCAGCCTTCTTAATCTAGAATGTCTTTCAATGAGCTCGCTTTCTTTTCCTTTAAGTTCCAGGGTACCTGTGCAGGTTATGCAGGTTTGTTACATCGGTAAACATGTGCCATGGTGGTTTGCTGCACCTGTCAACCCATCACCTAGATATTAAGCCCAGCTTGTATTGGCTCTTATCCCTAATGCTCTCCCCAACCCACTGCCCTCTCCCAACAGGCCCCAGTAAATGTTTTTCCCCTCCCTGTATCCATGTGTTCTCATTGTTCAGCTCCCACTTATAAGTGAGAACATACAGTGTTTGGTTTTCTGTTCCTGCGTTAGTTTGCTGAGGATAATGGCTTCCAGCTTCATCAATGTCCCTGCAAATGACATGAACTCCTTCTTTTTTATGGCTGCATAGTATTCCCTGGTGTATATGTATCACATTTTCTTTATTCAGTCTATTATTGATGAGCATTTGGGTTGATTTCATGTTTTTGCTGTCATGAATAGTGAATGAGCTCAGTTTCTAGAAGGAAGTGCAGATGCCACCTCTATAGAGCTGCAGCAGGAACCTCGACAAATATGTTTCATTTGATTCAACTCAATATGCACGTTATTCATTCATTCTGCAGTCCTGTGTGCAATACCTGGGATGTGCCAGCCTCTGAGCTGGATGCTGGAGGGAGAAGTGTGCATAAACAAATAGCTGGAAAACAACATGGACCCTTAATAATAGCTTCAACATCTGGTGCTGTTTTCTAGTAGGCATTTTGCAGATATTGTTGGTTCTTTCAAATTAAGACCTCTTCAAATAAGCAATCCACATATATGGTACAGAACTCAAATGGTATATAAAGGTATACATTGGAAAACATCTTCTTTTTCCTGCTGAGTTCCCTATCCCAGAGAAAACCACTTGTTTATTTTCTCTCTTCTTATATATCCTTGTATAGTGTATATATAGGCACAATTATGGATTTTTTTTCTATAAATGATAGCATACTCTCATGAATTCTGCTTTTGTTTTATTTTTCTGAGACTGGGTCTTGTTCTGTCATCTAGGGTGGAGTGTAGTCCTGGCTCACTGAAATCCTCAATGTCCTGGGCTCATGCAATCTGCCTCAGCCTCCTGAGTGGCTGGGACTACAGGCACCCACCACCATGCCTGGCTAACTTTTGTGTCTCATTGCAATCCTCTGCTCACTGCAATCCTCTGCGTCTTGGGCTCAAGCAATCCTCCCTGCCTCATTGAGTGGCTGGGACTACAGATGCCCACCAACATGCCCAGCTAATTTTTGTATTTTTTGTAGAGACAGGGCTTCATCATGCTGTCCAGGCTGGCCTCAAACTCCTGGGCTCAAGCCATCCACCCACCTCCACTTTCCAAAGTGCTGGGATTATAGATATGAGCCACTGTGCCTAGCCAATTCTGCTTTTCTTAACTTAAATTTCATAGCTTAGAGATTGTAATATATCAGTATACTTCCCTGTCAGCTTCATTAAAAATAAACAACCATCTAGTTCTCCCCTTATACAGAAAAACCATATTATATTGAACCACTCTCTTATGATGGACATTTAGATTGTTTTTGTATTTCTCTATTATAGGTAATACTTCAATGGTTAGCATCATACAGGGATATAATGTAGCATAGCAGTTAAGCCAGCTCAGCCCTGAACCAGACACCTAAGTTCTTACTGGCTGGATAATCTTGGACAAATAATTTAATGTCTGTTTGCTTCACCTTTCTCATTTATAAACCAAGGATGATGATAGCCTCTACTGCAGAGTGTCTTTTGAGGTCTAAATGAATTCCTGTCTGTCTGGTGTTGGAAACAGCACCTAGTGTGTGCAAATGCTCCCTAGGTGCTAACTCTTGCTTATGTGGAATTTGCTGGGTCCCGTGGCCTGTGGGTGTTTAACTTCGATAGATACCACCACTTGCCCCCAACTGAGGTTGCTCTGCTCTGTGCGCTCACCAGCAGCACGTATGCCTTGCTAACACAGCAAGTTACCAAACTTTCTGACTTTGCCAATCAGAAAAAAAAAATGTAATCTAGTTCAAATAGTGTTGGCAAGCCAGCTCTGTGCCAACCTGGTGAGCTGAAGCTCTGCCTAGGTCTAGATGATGTGTGAGCAGCACACTTCAGTACAGCCATACCTGCAACCACACAAGACGATACGAGGCGGAAGGAAAGCTGGA